TTCATTTGACAAATGCATGTCAGCTAGGCCATGTGAGGCTTTTCTTTTTGCATGATTTTGAATAAAAGTTATTGCTTCTGTTCAGTCATGGAATAATTAAAGTACTAATAAAGATTCATGAAAATCCGTGCGCGGGCAGGGTCTATGGGAATTTTAACATAGGCAAGAACCCCACCTTTGTCACGTTCCAGTTGGTATTCATATTGACTATGAATGCCAACTAAATGCTGTTCAGTACTTATATTTACCACTTTTAAAAGTATTTCTTTCTTTATCAGAATGAAGATTTTAGCTGAAATAATTTAAGTGTACGCTGGTGACTGAATGGAACAGTGATACTCAAGGGAGGGTCAGTGGTTATCCACGTATAACGTCACCTAATCAATGGACCATGGCACTCATAGCGGATACGTATAATAGTAGAAAACACGTAGATTGATAAATATGCATTTAAAAAGCCAAAAGCCTTTGAGCTCATGGAAACCATATATCTACGACATCATCTTACTCAGCCGATGTTTTTGTTTCCCGCGTACACTGTGATGATAAAATCACATGTATGGGTAGTGCTTGTATTGTAGTTAGGATCTTCTGCCAAATATTTGGTCCCAGAACACACACTATGCATGAAGTCATCAGTTCCGGCCCGACTAGCGGTTACCCCTATCCTTAAAAGATCGTCTATGTGTAGTTGTGTTGTTTTTTCTTTCTCGTGTAGGTATAAGTCCTGTCTTCGCCATCAATGACCTTAGCTGTTAATAGGACGTTAAACAAAATCAAACAAACAAACAAACAAACAATGACAATGTCATCCAATGTAGATTGTATTCTTCGACTACAAACTCGCTTGCCGATGCCCCCACAAAGTCGCTTGCAAATGCCACCACAACTCCCTTGCGTTATGCCACCACAAAGTCGCTTGCTAATGCCACCACAAACTCACTAGCTGATATCACCACAGGTGTTTAAATGGTGCCAATTAAAGAGATTTGAAAGTATTGATCAATACAAACCAGTGAGGAGTTTTCATCTTAGCTTCAGACTGTTATGATAATACCTAGTTAACTGAAGTCGTATTAAAGAGAGAACGTAACTCGAAATAAAGAGATAACTTATCTCGTAATATTTTTAACGGGATAATACTTGTGCATGTAGGCCTACCCTTTTCGTGTGGTACCTTTTCGTGTGGTACTAACCGGCTTTCGTAGTTTTGCCTGCAAAAGGGTCATGAATCCTTATGGGTAGATTTCCTGTGATCTGGCTGTGTTAAATTTCCAAGGAAGAACAGCTCAAATGTGTTCTACTTTTTTTCTGACTTGCACACTCATTTTTTTTCGCGAAGAGTTAAAATGCGAATGAAATATGTTTATAATTTCTAAAAAAAATCAAAAGATTATAAAGATATCATCTGCACTATGGGGGTGCGATCCCCGGATCTCATAGTTCATAGTTCATAGAGCAGCAGGCTTTTATCATAAACTTTTCTGAAACATTACCGAGATGATTGCAAAAAAGTTATTATACAATTAAACGGTCTGCAAATTAATATTGCCGTTGTTAATAAAATGAAAATAACTAGTGCCTGTATATAGTAGACACGTTGTGGGACACTTAATTACCTCAAAGGGATGTAATTTTCTGATAAATGCTGTCGCAGGGTCTTTGAAATTTGTTACAGTTTATCTATTTTTGGACATAAATAGATGTTTTAGGGGTTTAGATCAACTTTCGGTTAAAAAATGCCACCTAAATCAAATGGTGACCATGAGGTTGGCAGTTTTTAAATCTAGACCCGTAAAAGGGTTATGAGAATTTGCTACAGCTATAGTTGGGTCTTAACTCACTGCAGTCAGTCAGTGTCATTTTATCAAAGCCCATAAAACTTGTAAACTATGAACACCTTTTAGTTTAGGTCAAAATATAGCTGTAACATGTTCAGGTCCAAACAGACCGAAATTCTAACACATTATCAGGTCCCTGTGGATGCTTGATTAATTGATTAGTGGGTTTTACGTCCGCTTCACTACCGAGTAGTTCGGTTATCCAGCAGACGAAGAGCAGAAAGGAAAATGAGTAGAAGGGAATAAAGTATGGCGTAACGAGTAGAGGAGGGGGATAGGTTAGAGAAGGAGCCGTCTATCCTATATATATTAACTGTATAAGTCTAGTTTGTGTAAGACGGCTCCTATGTCTAATAATGCCTTAATTCTCCAAGTTTGGACCGGAAGTGAGGTACTGTGCCGCCGCCAGCCACACAAGATGAATTTGGCTTATTTGGAAGTCCTTCTAAATGTCTTAATAAAGATACCCTAGTTCTAACGGCCTCAAATTTGAACAAAGCTTTCACTATCCTCTGTGTCGGCGTTTACGCGCCTACCCTTTTTCGAAAAACCCAGAGGGATTTTTTCCGTGCGAGATTGGACAGTTCTCACACGGGCCACCATTTATAGTCCCATCCGACGGACTGTTCCCCTGTGGATGCTCATGCGAGTGCCTTTTCTATCGATCTCACTACAGGTTCATTTCTTCACTTAGTATCACAAAATAGCCGTGCATGTACTGGTAACAGTCAAGTGGTTCCTTCGCCATGAATTATTTGTTTGTTTGTTTATGTTTAACGGCCCATCGACGGCTGTGGTCATTTAGGGCCATGCTGATTTATTTATTTATTTATTTATCTTATTTTAACAAACATGTGAATCGCGAAGATAAAATCAGATAAAAATGGTTCATTTTTAAAAGTATTCGCATTGTATGTGTAGATATTAAAATTAATGATAAAAGGGGGTTAAAATAATAAAAGAGATAACGAATAAATGATATGGAATATGCGGTATATATATAACGTCAAAAATGATAAGGTTGGTTAAACTGACATCAATGAATTAATTGACTGTCAATAGAAATATATCCGATCGAGCCCTACAACGGCCACTGACGCTATCCAGTACTTACTTACTGCCCTGTACGCCCAGTGGCGTGTAGGGCAGCAACGAAAAATGAATAAACCTTGCCATAATTAGCCTACTGTTAATTGGCTTCCATTCCATCAGTGATTTTACCATTCCTTTCTTTAGAATAATCGCTACTCCTTCATGGTGTTGCCCATCATTTCTTCCAGAGTATAGTAGAGTTTCTCCAGTTCTAGTTGTTAGACGCTATCCAGTACTTTCTTTTATTTCAGTAACTTGTTGATGTTTGTATATATAGGATCTTACATGAGTTTCATAACGCAGTACATCATATAAATAATGTTCTTAAATGTGATATTTTTGACATGATTTTTTTGCTGGGCACAATTATACGTAAATTATATTGACAATCAATGACGACATAAAATATTATTCTGTTACTAGATAGGCTCCTGATAGCGCAAAAAAGGGTTTCTAGATACAGAACACCTCTCTTTGCATTCATAGGCAAATTGAGTGCTAACTGAAAATGACATATTCTAGGAAGAGTGCTATCGTGAAAACAGTTAAATATTTATATTCACCAATGAAGAAGTAGTTTAATCTGATGGAAGATTTATTTAACGAAATTCTGCATTTAGATATGTTTAACTAGAACACCGGAAGGTCAGCTAGGGCCCAATGTGCCTGACCGTACCCTTTACCCTATGTTCTATTTTAGAAACAACAATCTTGACCTTAGCTTTTTTTCAATCCCTATCCATAGCCTATATGTAGTAACAGTGACCTTGATCTCAGAAGTGTTTTACACCCCTATTGCACATCTGCATACCACCACGGACTTAGATAATCTAATTCTGTGATACCACAGTGGATCACTATGTCTTTTGAATTCCAAGATAAGGACCATAACCTCCCGGTCTATTTTCCGTAACGGTGACCTTTACCGTAATCTTCGAAATTGTAACGGTGACCTTTACTGTAACCTTCGAAATTGTTTTATCCGTTATTGTACATCTACATATTATAGCGACTCATTTTGTCAAATTTCTAAAATATTAGTCTTTTGGATTCAGAGANCCACCCCCCTTTTTTTTGATTATGAGATAAGGACCCTACCCCGGCTATTTCTATTTAAAGTGACCTTGACCTTAGACATTTTTAAACCCCTATTCCATATCTATATATCACACTGTATCACCATGTCAAATTTTAGAAAGATTCCTCTTTTGGATTTCAAGATAATTTTCAGAACGAAAGTATAGAAAGACAGACAGACAGGGTGTGAACTTGTTCCCTTTCCTTAATATTTGGTGAAAATACATCTTTGCTAGCCAAGGGATAAGATCTGGTACTATCCAATCTGTAGCCACAACGTAGGTAGACTGAATCATACCAGATTATAACCCTTGACAAGCCAAGATGGTGAAAATACTATTAATGATAATTCCATATCAAAACTTTAAGGACTTTCCTCAATGACATACAATATAATAATTCATGGATAAATTAAGCCACTTAAGAATACATTGTAAAAAGAAGTGTACTAAAAAACATATTTCTTAATTCTTGATAAATCCAATAATGAGTGTAGACTACAACAACCTGGTAATATAACAATTATTAAAGCTTGGATTATTATTTACAAGAATACAGGTTTCTCTATATATTCCTATGACATTTTGACTTTTATCACAGTGAATTTGAGGAAAGTAAGTTTCATCTACTGGTGTAAGTCAAACTTGGTTTGTTTGTGCTTTACGTCTTATTAACAGCTATGGTCATTTAAGGACCACCAAGTTTTAATGGTGGAGGAAAACCAGAGTACCTGAAGAAAAAACAATGACCTGTAGCGAGTACCACTGGCCCCACATACTCCTTGACCCCCGACCCAGTGGTGAGGGGCTAGCTATAGTGATCCTAGACGGTCAGACACCTTAAATTGGGCACTGAAGCCCCACACTGTAAGGAGGAAGGCCATCATGTCACATTTTCACCACTAAAATCGTTTAGAGAAGCTTAAGACATACACACATCCTCTTTATGACAATGACAAAGAACAGCCAGTACTATATTACATAAATCACGATTTTTAATCACCAAAGTTACAAATGATAATCATTTAAAAGCATTAAATATCTTTATATACATGTACAGTTTTGTAATATAGAAACATGTCTGAAATGAACAACAGCGCAATGAACAAATTCACTTGGAAAACAAACATAACATACATATTTATATAAGAATTTACGCTATTGGACCTATAGCCAAAGTATGGGATAAGGTTCAATAATTATTCAACACCAGCAACAGTTATTCTACAGGCCTCAAAACTAGTTGTATCACGCTGGAAATACATGTGTTATATACCACGGCCCAGTTGTTCAGACGTTGATTAGCTTAATGTGAGTGATTAGTGTAAATTATATTTTTACTGTTTATATACACAAGCAATAACAGTTAAATTTTCCAGATAACAAATATTTCAGAAGAGTAAAATTACATGCAAAATATTACAAGTTTTTACAGTGTCTACTGACCCAATTATTAGAGACTTAAAAATGTTGTTAAACAGTGATCAACCTTATCACCTTTTCAAAAACTTGACCCAGTTATGTAAGCAAACAACCATACTAAATTTTCAAGTGTCATGTTGAGGTTTTGCGAGGGATAAACCATCTTTTCTAGGCAAGTGTTCGCTTCGTATACACTATAGAGAATACTAAGCAAACACTTGTCTAGCAAAGATGGGGATAAACATGATATTTGCTGTTCTAATGACCTTGAATTACAAGTCCCTAGAGTATACATGCACAATCTGTAAACAACAGCCCAGAATTCTCTTTTAAGGATCCTCATCCCACTACACTGTGTTTTTATATTATATACAGTGACCTCCCCTTAATTTGGTTTTAGAAATAATTGTAGCACAGATGAGCCTGGACACTGTCGCTGTCCAGGTGGTAGCTCTATAGGTTAGAGCAATAATATAACAATCTGTAGTCTAGGGTTCGAATCCCAATCTAGTCCGGCTGAAATTTTTCACTCAGAAATTAATGAATTTTCCCCCAACAAAGTCCAACAAGGTCTGGTTACCTCTTTTTTCGGAAATTATTTATCAAAGCTGTAGTCATAGCCCGAAAAAAACGTTCCCAATGTTGTGCCACAGTTTCTGGCAGTGGTATATATGGGTATCCATAACTAAATCAGCTGTAGCCCCGGAAAACCTTGGTAACCTTTGGCCTTATGTAGAGACCTGGGTTCTGAGCATGATTTTCTTTAAACCTTGCTTTTACAAGCAATATATCGTATACAACTAGACTTGAAGATGAGTTTTTTTCATGGATTATATCTATTGACACAGTGTTAGTGAACCATCTAGTCAATACTGTCTGCAGGTAATAGGGAATTTTACTTTAGTGGGTTTGACTTATGAAAGAGGAAAAGAAGATTATCCCATACAGTACCCAGGTCACTATGTATGTGGACTCCAGTGTACATGAGATGGGTTTCAGCCCAAGACTACTTGGGTCAACAATATGAATTAAAAATTATATTAAGGCAAGATATTTCAATATTACATACAAGTTTGGGAATTCAGTGTGACATACAAGGTACATTGTAGTATATAAGAAATGCCCCAAGATAAAAAGTACAATGCTAATTGTTTTTTAAACAATTAATGCACTTTGATGTTTGAAGTCTTAACAAATTGCATAATTATTTACAACAGTGTGATTTTCACATTTGTTTTTTATGTGGCAAGGTGAACACATTAAATCAGGAAACAATAATGAACCAATAAACTGTGAATAATAGGTCAAAGGAAAACACCACTATAATGTTGCCTTCACTGTGAATTTTGATTTTACAGTTAGTGATATTAACATACTGAAACATTATGAAAACTGTTGTTTAATCATAAACACAGTTATTCAAATCACAGGGACCTGATAGTTTTTTACAGCTATATCTGGGCCTAAACCAAGGTGTCCTCGGAGTAATTTTGCTTGTTTTAGGGGCTTACACTTTAGATCAACTCCCAAAATGTGTAAAACTACTCTGGACTCCAAATATAGCTGTAACAATTTATCAGTTCCCTGTGACTCCAATTATATAAATTGTACACCCTGGTTTGGTTTTAGTAAAATTAATAACAAAAGTTGATGCTTATTGCTGTTATAATTATTTCCAGGAAGGAAAAACATTGTCCATATTTTGTAAAAAAAATGAATTTATCGAAGCTGAATTGTATACCTTCCAATGCCGACTATGCATCTAATATTGTAAATATTACTTTGTCATAGGAATGATGACATTCACAAATTCCTCTCCCTCCCCCATTTGAAGTTGTAGGTGACTGAGAAGCTGTGCTGCCTGCTCATGTTCTAGGGTAATGACACTTGAACCTTCCAGGTCGTTGTCATCGACCGCGTCTTGTTCATTCGTAAATACTTTGATGTTTATACCTCCCACAGGGTTGGACTGGTGTGTGTCCACATGTTCATTGAGCTGCTGTAGTAGATTAAACACTTCTCCACAAATGTCACATTTATACATGGAATGCGGAATATTCTCGTTATCGCCATGTGGCGCATTGGTCTCCTCAATAATAACGTTATCATCTGCAACGCTCTCATCATTTCTATCTCTATGGGCCGAATACATATGCCTGTTAAGGGTGTCCTTGTAGAAAAAGCCTTTCTGACATATTTGACAGTAATGGCGCATACTTCCTGGGAGCTTGTTGTGTTTCTCCGTTTGGTGTTTCCTATCCAAGTGTGTCCTTAGTGACCTTGTTGACCTAAACACGCGTTGGCAGACGTCACACTGAAACGGGAACTCCTTTTCATCCTTCCCGTTTCGACAGTTAGCTCGATGATTTATGAAGTCCTTCTCCAACTGGAACTGTATCCCACACACGGTACACTTGTGTGGTTTATGTTCAGGGTGGGTGTTGAGATGCGCCTTGTACGACGTTCTAAAGCTAAACGTTTTGTTACAGTACTCGCACTGAAATGGTTTCTCTCCTGTGTGTACAACCCTGTGTCTCTCCATCATGTGAGGAAGCTTGAAAACCTTGCCACAAAAGTCACACTTACGACTTTTCTTCGGTGGCCGTTTTGATTTCCGATTTTCATCACTGTGTGCGTTCCGGAGGTGCCACTTTAGATGCCGCAGGCTTTTTCCGCAAATGTGACATACAGTTTTGCCCTGTCCAGCTGTATGATGGAACTTTTGATGGCGCCGTAATCCAGTCAGGGTACTTAACTGTAGGCCACACTGTTTACATGAAAACAGTTCCGGATTTTCATGATATTTTATATGTCTATTGTAGTTGATCCGAGAGGTGAATTGCTTTGCGCAATATGGACAAAGCATTTCTTCCTGGTTGTGATTTTTCATATGATCAGCCAAACATGACCTGGTTTTCAAAAACTTCTTGCAGATTTCACATTGCAATACTTTATGATGCTCATCATAATGGTTTCGTGTATGCCTTAGAAAGTTTTTCATAGTGACGATATTTCTCCCGCAAATTAAACACTCGTGACTATCGTTGCCCTTTGAATACGAAGAGCTGTGTACGGACATGTGACTCTTCAGTCCGTTCATATTGTCAAATACCGTTCCGCAGATTGAACAGCGACAGCCATGAGACTTGTGTCTGTCCAGGTGGCTGAGGAGGTCGGGTCTATTTCGCCAGACAGTGTTACAGATGATGCAAGGATGGACTCTTTTGTCATCGTAAACTTGTCCCTCATGAGCATCTGATAAGTGACTTTGAAAATCTGTCAGTGTGATGAAATCCTGGTGACACTCTGTACATCGATATACCTTGACGCCATGAAATAGAGTCATGTGACTCCGCATTTTTTCAACCGGTACGAACAGGCCACATACCTCACATGAAATCTTTCCTTTCCTCGTCTTACTCCGATTTGAGTTTCCACTTTCAAAATCGAGTGTATCACTCTCTCCTACTTCTTCATGCCCATCAGAGTCGGTCAACTCAATATGGCCTTTCTTCTCTTGTTCTTGGTCGGTTTCATGTCTTTCATCATCGATGCGTGCACCTCCTTCAATGACTTGGTTTTCTGACATAACTTGCAATTGGTTTTCTATTTTGTTGGCTGTGGAAGATGTAGCTGCCTGTGCCAACACTTCCATTCCACTTGTCATTTCTTTCCCTTTAATTTCTGCACAAGGTATAGTCGAGTCATTGTTCATAACTGCTTTGTTATCAGTCACTCTATTTTCTGACAAATTTTCATTTGCAGCTTGTTCTCCTGCAGCAGACTCCTTTAGATTTCTGTCCGTTACAGACACGACAATGGGGTAAGGTTTGTCGTCCTGTATTTCGTCCATATCAACAACAATGCTTAGCATGCTTTTATCATGTACCTTGTTGATGTGCTCCGATAGGTGACTGATGTAGTAGAACGCCTCACCACATCTTCGACAACGCCATCTTACAGCTTGACGATGATAGAGTCTATGATATGAGGCGTGTTTATAGTTACTGAACACCAGAGGGCAGGTCTTGCAGACATATTCTTTCTTTTGAGAAATTGGATTTGAACACTTATAGACATGTATTTTCTGTTCCCTTGAGGTGGCCACAGGATGTTCAGTATCTAAGGAGTCTGTATTTGATTGAGAACCAGCCGCTACGTCCATTATATTTTCCTGACATGTTGGTTCCCCAGCTTTGTTACTCAAAGCAATTTTAGATTTTAGCAAAGAGACCATCTTCTGAGATTTTTTTGCTGTACTGGATGGCGATCCTGTGCATCCTATTTGATCCAGGTGCCTGAAGTAACTTGGATCTGTATCGACAAATTGAGGGTCAAACTCCTCATCCATGTCTGTAACGCTATCTTCTTGTCGACAATTGAATGAGTATCTCCTTCCAAAATCCTCAAAGTCTGTTAATTTTGTATCCACTTCTTTCATTCTTCCGAAACTGTCAATGACAAAGGTCAACTTCTCATCTTCACCTGTAGTTAGGATAATACCTTTGCACCCACCACTTTTCTGAAGCACCAAGCTCTCTTGCATCGTTTCCGTAAGTGCGGGGTGCCATCCTTTGACATGTCTGCGCGCCTCTGCCATCGTCTTGTAGTGTCGCCCACAAAACACACAAAGCCAATCACGCTCTGGACGAATGGTTCCCTCTGATAGCCCCTCCCATTCGTCATTTTTGCGTAAGAAGTGCCGGGCCCATGGGCCATTGATGTCATGCACATGGGCCACATGCTGAACTCCAATCAGTTTATTTGCCATCCCCTTCCGACATCTGTTACATTCCCACGGTTTCTTGTCCTGTGAAATAGCATTTCCTTCCTCATGGCGGTAATTTTCACAGTTCAGGAAATAGATATTGGCATGAGTTATGTTCAGTTCCTCTGATGAATTAATCAAGGGTATTTCTTGTTCGTCATCAATGATTTCTGCATCTGATTCTACATTTTCGTTATCAAAAAAGCTGAATGTCTTTTTATCCCACTCACTGATTTTCTGTTTTAAACTTGGTACCTTTTCTGGATCAACTTCCCTGATTCTTCCCTTGGAATCAATGTGATAGCTTCTTGTAATCTCTTCAGGAAGGGATAGCACGATCATTTTTGAGCCGTCAGACTTTTTCAGAAGTACATCAGAAACCATGGTGTCCGATACATCAGGATGGCAATCCTTAATATGTTGAGAGGCTTGCACTTGGCTCATGTAGTCTCGCCCACAAAGTACACAAATCAGGTCACGATCTAGATGGAATTCGTCCTCAATTTTCTGTGTCTTAGACCCTTGTTCAGGAGCAATTTGTCGTACATGATACCTTGCCCATGGTCCATAAATCTCATGAGGGAAGCGCATATGCCGTAATGCAGCCTTTTTAGTAGGAACTTTCTTCCCACATTTGATACACTTCCAGAGTTTTTGTGTTTCGTTGTAAGGGTCTAATTCTTCTTCATCCTCCGTCTCAGTCGGAATCTCAATGTCATCCTTGTCTTCGTCATTAATGGTGTAAACCTCAACTTTGGTAGCAAAGAATTTTTTGTTTAATTCTTCTTGCCATTTCTCTTGAATTACATAGGACTTGGCATCCTCGCGTGCTAATCCATGTTTTAGAATCAAATGTCTGTGAACATCACACTTATGAAAGTAGGAAACGGGGCACAATCCACACCTCCAGGGTTTGTTGTGTCCATGTTTGAATCTCCCACGGCCAGAAATAGCTCCCTTCTTTGAAAGCTCCATCCCTGTGACCTCACAGTTCTTTGAGCCCAAAGACTCTACGGATTTTACGGTGTCTGATCCTTCTTCCTGTGTAGGTCTCACAATGTCTCCAGCCTCTCTGTCATTTGCATCTTCATTTTCATCCCCTGGCCTCGTTATAGTTTCTGTCTCACGATCTACTAGGATACGAATTATGTTTGCTTTGATGTCACAGTCAGCCACAATGTGTTGCTTGACAATGTGTCTCCTCACAGCAGAATGCGAGACGTAGACAACCTCGCAAATTTTGCATTTCCATTTCTGTACTTTAGTCAGGAAGTGCTGTTTTACGTACCTCATCATCCTACGCCGTTTTAGTCTCTCTCCTTGAATCTGTTCGTCAGTCTTTTTCGTTTTTTTTGCATTTCCTGTCCTGTTCACATCACTATTCGATAGCCAGTAATCTTCGTTCGATTCCACCAATTTTAGGTCTTTCTTGATGTAGTTGAGAGCATCTGTTTTGGTTTTTTCATGTGTCATACGAACGTGCGTTACAGCATTGTTTTCTCTACTAATTTGCATATTACAAATCGTACAAGTATATGATACTTCTTCCCTGGTCTTGAAATAATCATGCAGACCCATTTTAGTGGTCGTCTTCACATTTTTCTGTGTCACAAACTTAATAACTCTTTTCGCCATACACTGTTCAATTTGGTCTGCATCTTTAATTTTGTGTTCCGTTGTAATGTGGATCTGCATCTCACTTTCTGTGTATTTCACTTCCTTACATTCTTTACAAGTCCATATCCCTGGCTTGACAATTATTTCATTAGATTTGCCCTTCTTACTTCTATTCCTAATCCGTTTGACTTTTGGAGGAGGTATGACACACTTGTCTCCATCCGTACCTTTAAAATGAAGAAGCTTCATGTTCCTTCCCTTGACAGACTGCCTTTTACTTTCCTTTGCTTTGGCCTGTAATTGTTGAGCTTTTACATCACTAGCTTTCAGAAACACCACTTTCTTTTGTTTACTGTTGGTGTTCCGATCTTTGCTGGAGCGTACAAGTAAAACCTTTTTACCTGTTAACAAGGATTGTCCTCCAGTTATGATTCTGTCTTTTCTTGAACCGTATTTTCTGCTAATTAATACAGTTTTTTTGGCTAAGGTTCCTGATCTAATTCTTGTTGTCATCCTTTGTGTGGTCACATTTGTTTTCTTTTTAACGCCATCTTCATGTCTGGTTCGAGAACCAGGTCTGGGAGACGTTGTAGCTTCTTCATCATCCTCATTGTCAAAATGTTCATCCTCATCAAGAAATTCTTCATTATCATCATCATAACCATCTGCAAATCTGTCTTTTCTGCTCTCAAGTTTATCAGAAGTACTCATGACTGTTCGACCGTCCTTATCATCTGCATCATTTTCAGAAATTTGGTCAATGTCCTTCCTGCAGGAAACAAGGATATTTGTTGTCTTTTCTTTTTCTGATACTTTTTGATTTCCAATATGATAAGACTGGTCAAAGGTAATTTCCCCTTCTTCATCAGAGTCAGAATCCAGCCCAAGTTCATTGGGGTCAGTGTTTGTGGATGCTTCCCTTTGCATCGGTGGTTGCTTCTTACCACCACCACCACCACCACCACCAACAATGATATCTGTTCCATCAACACCTTCACAGGATTTCTGAAGTATCTCTGTTCCAGCTCCACAACTTCCAATAACAACGATCTTCTTAAGTGATTTTGATACACTCTGTTTGTCCACAGATGTTTCTGTGGTCCTTCCTTTTGGTATGTCTCCACTTTGATTTTTCTGCTGTCCGATACATGTCACATCTTTTATTGATATGGATGTATTTGTTTTTTTAAGTTCAGTCGATGAGTTTCCTTTTGCCTGTCTTCTGCTTAAAACTACTTGACTTTTTGATGTTTCAGTTGACAGGTTGCCTGTAGACAATTTCCTTGGCCTACCTCTGCCCCTTTTTTGCTTTGCCCCTTCATCAGCCTCAACATTTTTAGATGATTCAGAAGATTGAGTTCCAGAAGATTTTCTTGGCCTTCCTCGTCCTCTCCCTTGTCGTTGGCTAACACTTTCATTCTTTATGGAACTTTCAATGTTTTGAATTTCAATCTTTGAAGTTCCAGTAGGCAGTGATTTTGGCCTCCCTCTGCCTCTCCCTAGCAACTGTTTTGAATTTGAATCATTTTCAAATTTTCTTGATGCTTTTTCTGGTATGTCATTTTTTGAATTTCCTAATTTTCTCTTGGCATATTTTCTTCCCGATCTTGTCTGGGTCACAAACTGTTGAGTGATGTTTGAGGGTCTTTGGTCCTTGGTTCCTACCTCAGTACCTGTAAGAAAATACATCAGTATTATTCAAATTGAATCTACCAAGACTTGATTTTGAACTGGAGAAAAAAATAGCTAATATTACTATGACCAGTTACTAATTTCCCAGCAATCTGAATATTTTTTCCTTTGAGAAAACAGTAAACTGTTATATTTTCCCCCTGTCAATATTGTTTTTTGTCTGCTGGTCATTTAAAACAAATAGCACTGCCTCCCCCTTCCATCTCTTGTCTATCCAGTTTTTTCTTATAAGTACAAGTTAATGGTCAGAGTCATAATCATTGTTGTGTGTCTCAAAATCTTGTTCTGTGACCTATGGAAACCGGTGCTTTGACAGGGTTTCGGCCACATTGTGGAACAGATTACCATCTGCTATTAGAAAGTCTAATATGTATCCTGGCCAAATTTGAGAAGGACATCAAAACTCACCTCCTCACTTCTGCATTTTAGACTATTTGCACAGACGTCATGTAAATATCACACTTTATTTATTTAAATTCATTAATGTATAATGGTGATTGTAAGCCCATTTTGTTTCACAATTATAACTAATACTACTATCCATATGTTGTAAAGCGCTTTAGAGTAATTTTACAAATTATATAAGGCGCTATATAAATGCTGTATATTATTGTTGGCTGTCCTCATATGGCCCTGGCTAGACCACAAAAACACAAACCAATAAATGGCCTGTTAAATGGCTCAAGTCAATCCTCTTTTCTCAAATTAATTTACCTTTTTCCTGTCGAAATGCGTTGACAGGAGTACTAGGTATTTTCCCAGGCAATGTGATGATACCAGCTTCTGTGCCCAACTCCTTCTCTTCTGTTGGGACCTTTATTGGTGTTGACATCGCCAAAAATTGTACATAATTTTCTGCTTCTGTCACTTCCTGTTTTTTCTTCACAAGAGTGTTCATGGCATTGTAGCACCTGAAACAGTGAGGAATGATCGAATATAGTTTGGCGTATGTTTTGGCTTGAAATTCTAGCTAGAAAAACCCCTCAATTCAGACAATAAAATAAATTCCAGAAAAACTACTCTCTAAGTGGATGCATGATATATAGATGCCAGCCCATTCCATAAGCTCACAGACTGTGTTATCTTTCTACAACTTGAACTAATTAAATACCAGTGGTTTTGTTACCTCAACTGTACAACAGCCTGTTTCTTTATGAACGGGGAAAATATATCATTATTTGTATTGAAATTGGAAAAATATTCCTCAGTTTTTGGTCATTTTGGGAAAATAAGGCACTTTTCAGCTTTAAACAGCCTGTATTCGGCAGTAAAACTGAGCTAATAAAATCACTGAATACTAACAGCAATACTAAACTGTACCTGTCACAGATGAAGCCATTCGAAGAATTTTTAAATTCCTCTGCTCTGTCTGGGATATACTCTATGAGTACGTTCCTAACAGTGGACATCAGGATCCAGTGTTCCAGAGAGTGGTTGGTCCCACACAGTCCATGGCAGAGAGTACAGGTAAGCATCTCTGCCTCCTCTAAACGGTCTGCCATTGTGGAAAATATCTTGCTACATCTGTAATAAAAGTAATGGTTGTAGTGTTGGGTATTGCCTTAATTTTTATAATGATGTATCACAATATTTTGAAATGAAAGAACGTTGCAGTCCATATTTCAATGCATATGTTGTTTATCAGCTAGTACAGCATTAACTTCATGCCATAGCTATAGGTGATAAATTAACATCTGTATTTTAACATTTATAACATTCGTTAAACACCGATTACAAATGTATGCTATAAAACCCCAGCTCTTTCCCTCATACAACATTTAACTTAAATTAATAAGAAATCATAAGATCAGTAGATAATTATGCTTAATGTCATGATTCTTAATGTCACATTCTGGTTAATATCATGTTTCTCAATATTCTCTCTAGAATAGATCATTCTAGAACTATTAGAATAGTGTATAATTTCTTTGTTAAAGATCATGTGATTTGACATGAAATTTTAGCGATCATGTTCATATGTCCAGTTTCCTCAAATTAGACTGGCTTCCTGTCTCTGTGATTATCACCAATTTTCCAATCTATGTACATTGACTCGAGCAAGTCTAGTAAAATGTAGATGGAGTGTCTCAGGATTAATTAAGGTCAGACCTAGTAATCTGATGCTGCTTTCAGGCGAGCCTTGACAAAGCCTTGCAAGGCCTGCATAAATATTTGCAGGACCGCCAGGATATATACCCGAAATTGTTGAATTTTTAAACAGACAAACCGGTTGTTCCGCATAAACGAACAGGCCCCAGGTAACCTTTAAGACCCTGCTAATAACTAGAACTGACGCTAAAATGGCAAACTTAACCCCACATCTGAACCTAGAACTGCAGGAATAGTTCTTTGAAAATATCTTTAAATAAACAAGGCAAAGTATTGCATGGGAATTCACAGACCCAAACCAGTGATGATTTCTTTGAACATCTATCTTAGAATAAAGGTCACAGTGACATACTTCTTGTACGTCGCAATCCCCAAGCCAAGAAACACTTGCATGCCAAATCTGATTTAATACTCTGGGTGAAATAGTATAGAAGATATACCCTAGACAACATTTTTTAAATGTTGAGGTCCAAGGTCAAACCATATATAGGTCACAGTGACCTACTTATGTTCTTAATTGACACTCCACTGTCTAATGATGTACTCCTATAACATAAGAGGCTGTTGGTTGGCCTTTTTTCTATTGTATATGATTTTGCGGACTGCGCCTGTCAAAAGTATCTCGCTGTGTAAACCTCTAACACTGTTGGAGATGAAGGCGACTGTATCATATGTACAATTAAAATCTGCCATACCTGTGTACTTTTATTCCAAATCTAGTTATTTAATTTCTCCAGGTGAAATCGTGTAGATATTATGCCCAAGACCAAATTTTGGCTAGATTTCATTAAAAGGTGTGTAACTCCCATAGAAATGGTCGGATTAAAGTTTTCAATGCAAATGCAAAACTTCAGAGAGAGTGGACTGCCTCAGTGAAGTTTCATGTAATTTGGCTGAAAACTGTACTTTAGGAGCTGAGTTGTCTAAACAAATTGTTTCCACAGACAGGCGGACAAACAACTGGATTCCAGTGTGGCAGATTTTAATTGTACATACATGTATATAGGGTTATGGTGGCCTTCTAGCGTTGAGCTAGAGGGAATTTCCCTTTAGTTCAGTAATAGATCATCTGACTAGGAAGTATGTGATTGCAGGTTCAATCCTTAGTGGAATCACACTACTCTCGTTCCTGTTACAAATGGTGTCTGTGACCTTCACTTGTGGGGACAGGGAGTTAAAACCAGGGTTGTGGTGTTCGAGGGCAAACTACATATAACAAGGTTACCGCGAGCGGTATATAATACGCCCGTCACACATTGAATGAGCAGTAGTTTGTATGATTGAAATATATGAAGTATTTGTGAGTAATTGATATTGAAAGAGAAATCCTTCAACATAACTGGTAGATCAATGAGTGCAATTCAACATCATGGAACACATGCATCGCATTAATGAAACCAAGGGGAATAACTCCAATAATTACGGTCGGATAATGGCGGTTATCGAATTTGTCCGAGGTTTCATGGTAATTAACCTTGTTGTGAAGTTTGAAGTTAATCTGTTAATAATTACTTGAGATATCGAGCGGACACTGTTTCGACAAGTCCATAAAGGAGCATAACTCAACAAATAATGGTCGGATAATGGCGGTTATCAAACTTGTCCGAGCTTTCATGGTAATTAACCTTGTTGTGAAGTTTGAAGTTAATC